AACCATCTATATAGGTTACAAACTCACTAATCAGTTTTGTTTTTTGGTTATAAATGAAAAAGGTTTCCGATATGGCCATTCGTGAAGCTGATCGGGATATGTTGGTTAGTGTTACCACAGTTTAATGGAGCAGAACATGTCTACAGACATTTCATTAGGCCATTTTACATGAACCCTCAAAGAGCTTCAACTAATATTTGGTATGTGCCTCACAAGAAATTCAAATTTTTCCCCAAACGCGACGAAGATGACATCCTCACTGCTGCTGAGAAATACATGGAACAACATGGTACTGAGGCATTCGAGCGAATGATCGTTAGGGTAAAATTCGAATTCACATTTACATATGTATACATTGATGTCTTTGTTCCCTTAGATATTTTGAGTGATGAATGTTTTTTTTTTGTGATGCAGAAGGATAGTTATGAAAGGGGAAGGAGAGGAGTAATTAATAATAATCACATGATCTTTGATGATGACTATAGGTACTAAGTTTTTATCATGTTATTATGGTGGTTTGGTTCTGTCTCTGATCTTGAACCGGTTTGGTTAATTTCACTTTATAAGCTCGATGTGTGACTATATATTATATTGTCTCTATGGATTATGTTATAAGCCTTATGTAGTGATATCGACATGTTTTCGTATTAATAATGCAATGCCATTTCTATATCTAGTTATGAAAGGGGAAGGAGCAGAGGAAACACAAATCACATGATCTTTGATGATGACTATAGGTACTAAGTTTTATCATGTTATGGTGGTTTGGTTCTGTCTCTGATCTTAACCGGTTTGGTTAATTTCACTTTATAAGCTCGATGTGACTATATCTAGATTATGTTCTAAGCCTTATGTAGTGATATCGACATGTTTTCGTATTAATAATGCAATGCCATTTTTTTATATCTAGTTTTGGTTGGAACATTACAATTTCTGTTCAAGTGAAAAAACAATAACCGAAACCTAATCGAATTCAATTTGGTTCGGTTTAGCAGAATTCGATTTGATTTTGACTTCGATTTGGTTCGGGAAAACTTCGTTATACATTCGCTCCAGCTTCCAAGCTGTACCC